CATGGTGGGATTGAAGACGCCGCGGTGTCCACGACACGACACCGATCGTGCACGTCTTTTTGGGCATGGTGGGATTGAAAACGCCGCGGTGTCACACGACACGACACCGACCGTGCACGTCTTTCTTGATGTGGCGGACAGGCTATGACTCCTGGAATTTTTCCTAAATGGGGGAGACATCATGAGGCTGCCGGATTTTTCAGTAAGTAGGGGACTTGACTTGAACTTCAATGAACAAAAGGGTACTTGCATGAACAACAGTGAACTTGAACAAAATGCACAATGAACTAGACTTTTAAATTAATAAATGGACGATCACATTAAAAGTACAAATGACAAGTAATAATCACGAACATCAATGAACAATTACAAGGACTTATGGTTTTTAACATAACTCGCTCGCAAGCAACAAGGCCAAAGGAAACGTATAATTTGATTGTAAATAGGCATATGAAGTCTTTAAACATTACTGTAAATTGCCTATAAATAACAACAATTGATGTGTAGCATCCACATCATTCACACAAGCAAATGCAATAACCTCAATTGAAAGCAAACACCTCAAGCAATAAGGGATCTATGATGTGCAATGAACTGTTCATGAACGATAACAAGGGTCATGCAACTGGTGATTTGAAATGATTGTAATGACTACGAGGATGTGCGATGAATACAAACATTCATTGACGGATCAGCTGCAAGCAAGAATCAAAACCCATCATATGCACGACACCTCATCTACAAGTAGAAGAAGAAAATTTGCAGTGTGAATGTTGTAGTTTGTGGAAGGATAAGGGCAACAGGCTTAAATGAAAATACCAACATTACCATACAATAACAAGCACGATCACCTGGAATTTAGTGATGAATATAACTTATGAGCACACTGCAAGCAACAGTGGTGGATATGTTGCAAGTGTAATAAATCCCCTATAAACATAGAATTGTAGGCGACGTATTATCCACAAGCGAAGATCAAAAGCTTGTAACGAGCTCACCAGCTCACCCATAAACAACAGCAATAAAACCCGCCAATAAACACAAATTCGCTTGCAGACAATGAAGCCTCCTGCAAATATATAAATGTAGCGTTTAGTGAATGGCAGGATATTTGTACAATTAAAGGCAACTCAATATCAGGTGAGATGTATTTATCCTTTACAAACAAAAGTGACCACTATACAACAAATGCAAGTAATTGCAATATTGCACAACTTGTCCACGCATAACATCAGGAAGCTTGCGATGCATACAGTGAGCATATTTACGAACATTGATAGTGAATGTATCGCCTGTAAGCAAAGATAGTTGATATGCAACGAGTGCAAGCATCCACGAGTCACTGCAAGAGACCTGTCATATACACAGTGTGGTATCTATAAGCAAATGCATAAGAGTTGTAGTAAATGCAGGCTCCTATAAGCAGCACTGAAAATCTGCATATGGAGCAACTCGCTTGTAAATGACAGCAGAAGACTGAAAATGCATACAACGATCCCGCCTACAAATAATGGCAGTGTTTGTATTGAAAATCCTCCACAAGCATTAGCAAGGAGATTATAGCAAGCGTGACTTATTGCCTGCAAACAAAGGGCATCAAGCCTGTGATGAATGCAATTGTTTACGAGCAACAGAAGTTCATCAATGCACAATGCAAGAGACAACGAGGGACCCAAAACCAACACTACCATTCACATATAAGTAAAAGCAGAGAAGTAGTAAAAACTATGGACTACTGGTAAAATAAGGCAGCAGATTTGCGACGCCAAGTCGTCATGCAGAATAAATCAGTTTATTTGCAAGCGATGGGTAGGTCCCTGACGTACCTCACAACTCATTTACAGGCTTAAGTATATTCTCGCAGGCTGAACGTTGAGGAAAAAAAAAAGTAACTTGTAGAAGACAAGGAACTAAATTGCGTTGACGATGCACAACAAATGAAACCCAGCGTGCTACTAAACAACGTGACTAGATCCGCAACACGCACACAATCGAACTGAAGGTAGTCTATAGGCTTCCAAATAAGGCCCAGCACACAACGACACAACGCCACCGGATCCACAACATGGATACAATCAGGCAGAAGACGTGTGCGAATTCTCGAGTGAAGTCCCGTGCATTTCTCAACAAGAACTCATCTACAATAAGTAGCAAATAACCATAGTGAGATGCCACGTCATTGGATCCGCAACGCTAATACAAGCAAACATAAGGCGTCTACAAGCTCTCAAATAGAACATCACGCACATTTAAATTATAGTTGTTTGTACAATTGACCAGTGTCAAATCTTTCAAAATGCATAGCGCATGTATTCCAACATGCATAGCTTATTATGTGAACAAGCAAGCATCGGTGCAAATGCGTATACACATATGCATATACGATGTACTTATCCGTTAACTACATTGTACAAACTGCATGCAAAATCATACTCTCACATGGGCCTCGACAAGCTTGTTACCTACATGTGATGTCTGAGGATGTTGTGCGGGTCGAGAAGTGAACTTAAGTTCAAGACCAATCATTCTCCTTGATGGGAGGGGAGTCGACAAGACTTGAACCAATGAACAAATATACAGTCGCAGTATTGCTCGAGATATGTCTTATACGTTCATATAGACATTCAAGGACAATTATATAAGAAATTCATTGACAAAGGCACAAAGTCTACTATGAACCCAATCCTCTGCCATCAATTAAACATAGTCGATAAGGTTCAACATATAATTACAAAAATGCCCCATAAATACTCTCATGGACCCCGGCGAGCGTGTTGGATGAATGCCTCGAAAGAGAGATAATGAAGAGGGATGAGGGAGCAAGAAAAAATCCTAGAAAGGGGATAATTTCCATAGGGAAGACCACATGATATTTCAAATATTCATTTATCATGCAATAATCCCTAATACAATACACTCATTTTATAGACCCAAAAACATACCTAAAATATGTTAGCGCTAGAAACAAACGAGGCTAGAAACAGACGAAATAATGCCCATATATGTATAACATCTGACCCATAATAGTTATTTTAAATACAAATTAAAAAACACAACATACTCCCAATGAAAGATTGAAGGAATTTGCACTACGTCTATTCCTGTGGGCTGCCAAAAAATTTAATATGGATAACTAAAATTTTGTTAGAGGGCGAACTATTGAGCTTTAAATGTACTGTGGAATTGGTAAAATCCACCAGGAAGATGAGAGACGAATATCCACGAGTTGAGGTAATAAATGGGAATTACATCATTGTGTCCACAATATTAGTATAAGATTCTCTTTTTTCTATCCTAAAAATATCACCAACTCCAAAAATGATAAAAAATAAATCCCAATATAGTTTCCCGATTATTCGTATATGATTAATTTGGTCAGAGAATATCATTTCTTTTTCTCAATTTAATCCCTTGACTATATAAAAGTTTTTCAAAATAAACCCACATGTATAAATTGTGGTACAAAATGATCCCTCATGTAGAAAGTTATCATGAGTCTTGGTAATTGTTTATGCTACAAAGAGTAAGAATTCCATGCAGTACAGGAATATAATCATACTAGAGAGTGGGGATAGTATAAGAAATGGAAACTTTAATTTGCTTCCATGAATTATAATCCCACAAACAAGCCATCAAATCTCATATTTATAAATATATAGTTATAAGATAAAATGAAAATTCAAGCCAAATTTAGACAACATGTAATAATCTTATCATCCAATTTAAATTGAAGTTAATCTTAATAATTAAACGAAATAACTTCTAAAATATTCTGAAATATCATAAATGTTCTAAAATTATTGTTTTCTGCTGCATCAATTCTTCACAAAAAAAAAAAAAAAAAAAAAAAAAAAGTTTTCCCAAAACATTTTCTGATGTGCCATACAACCGTGGATGCAGAGGTATGGGCCAGTGATCTCCACAATTCCACAGCAGTTATCGAGGTTCCACTTCAACATGGTGCGTCAATGAATTTGGTGAGCCAGAATGACCATAGAATCAATAGAGCAAACTTCTCAACCTCTTAACTTAGGCCTCATGCATTGTCTATAAACTAGTTATTAATCACAGTGCACGTATAAATAGATTAGGGACATAACTTTTAGTGAACTTGAACCAAGGCCAGTGTTGTTGGATGAACTTATGTGACTTCATGTGCAAATCTAGTTAAGGATTAGAAGCTGTTAGGAGTTAACCGAAAATGTTTAGCTTCTTGTTTTTTAAATTTTATTTTTGTTTAGGATTTGTATTTCAACTTCGAATATTTGCTTGATTCAGCCTTATGTTTCTTCTGTATTGGTATTGTTCTTTTGCCTGAGGTGGACATGGATGGATGAAAAGACAACTTGTTAAAAATGTAATTGAGCAAGTAATGAAATTTGAATTGTCTTTAAAATCATAAAAGAAGGGTCTCTGTGTCAAATGGAGAGATTATTATTCTATTTTTTTAGTTTTATGTGTATCTTATGCATCAAATATATATTTCTAGAAATCAATTGTTATATTTGATAAATATTAAGCAAAATATTTATAAGCATATAACCTTGTCTTTTCAAATTTATTACGTGAGAAGTCTTCAACTATTATCTGACTGGTGATGAATAAGTCCTTAATTATTGGCGCACAATCATTCGCTTATATGCACTAACTGTTTTTGCACATGCAGCTCATCTTGATTTATTGGTTGAGAGCTTTAGTTATCAATCAAATGATTTTGTGTTCAAAATGAGTGTATGAATTTGTCTTAATTAATCTAAATATCTCAAAAAAAAAAAAAAATGTTTTTTGCGTGTCAGTGGTGCGAGTAAAAGGCATGGTCATCCCTCCCTGGTTCGCCACATTATTAGTAAAAAAAAAAAAAAAAAATATAAAAGGAATGTCATGGCTCTGACATGATGGTCAACTAGGTGATTGAAGATGTCTTTGAATGTTCAGATGGTTGGGACGGCTCAGTTGCTCTGGGTGAAGGGAGAAGACTCAGTTGCGTCTGTAAATAAACAGAGGCGTTTGCCCTTGCCCTCTCTTTATTTTTTTTTAGATTTGCTTTTCTGATATTTTGGGGCCCTTTGAGCCTTTTTGGGCTGTTGTCTTTTTCTCTTGCCTCTTGCTCTCATTAATGGGAGAGATTATTAGGTGCGGAGTGCAGACGGGGAGAACCGTCCGCACAAGTATTATTTGGTGCTAGGTACCTGCACTTGGTATCGTTGGATACTCTTAGGTACTTAATGCTTGTGCGGACGGTGCGCATTTTGCACCTAATAATTTTTTCATTTTTGTATTTTTTGTTTTAATTTTAGAATAAAAAAAAAAAAAAAAAAAACACAGCCCCTAAAATCCCCGCAATTACCAATTCCTGCAATCCAACAGCAAAAGGTTTTTTTTTTCCTTGAAGTTAGCTGCCAATTTCCAGCAGCGCCCACAGCTTCCCCGTAAATTGTTTCTCAAATCCAATGCACTCTCTAGCTGAAAAGACATTCTCTTTTTGAAATTTATCATTAATTATTTTTTAAAAATTTTATCTTTTGGATTGAGAATTTTGATTATAAATTTTAAAATTTAAGTTTATATATATATGATATGTATATGAATTTGTCTTAAATTGATTCAAAATTAAAAAAAACATAAAAAATATTGGTTGTAATGAATATATATAAGATAACAACTAACAATTTAATTTTTACGAGGCTCACATTGGCCTTTTGGATGGGAGATGTGGTTATCAATTACTAGGTTTTGGGTGTGAATTTTATGTATATGATGTGTGTGAGTTTATTTAATTATTCTAAATATTTAAGATAAAAAAATAAAAAGAGATCTGCGATATTAATATTGGAAAAGCATAATCTTATTGCAGCCATTCACTGCTAATTAATAACTAATATATACAAATTAAAGAGGGAATAAACTGCAAAAAAGTTTGGTGAGACAGATTATTGTTTTGTTTAATATTGCTCAAAATCATTTCTTTTAACCCCAATAACACCGAAATAGAATTAGCCGAAATAGAATTAGGGTTTATTTGGAATGCTTGTATTTTTTTTTAATTAGCTACAAAATTATTATGTGAAAAATATTTTAATTATTTTAATCCTAAAAAAAAGTTTTATGCCGTAAAATTTTTAAAAAGAAATAAGAAGAAAATAAAATTAATAGCCAAATAAAATTTTATTGAAAAATTATCTCAAACACTTTTTTTTTAATCTCAAACACACCTTTGGTCTCTCAATTGTTATAATTTTATCTGTAGCTATAGCCTTTCACGTCTATAAAATTAACATTAATTAAAGTTGGATTTTAAGTGTGTTGGTGGTCTATGCTTTTTATTTGAATAAATAAATTTTATGATTATAAGCTATAAATAAATTTTTCAAAAATGCTAAGAATTAAAGGGGCAGTGGTACATCTAAATATTAAAAGATGGTACAAAAAATAAGTTAATTCATTCCAAGTTAAATCAAATCAATCTAAATCAAATTAAACATATCAAATCAATCCAAATAAAAATTAAGTTAATTCACCTAAACAAGTTGCAATAATTAAGGTTGAGAAAATGGGATCGAAAAAAAAAATCTGAAAAAGAAAAGCTTATCAATTCCAATTCTTCGTTTTTTTTTAATTGGCTCCAATACTTCGGTTCCACAATCCGACCGCCGATCCATGGGTTTCTAGCTAGTTTTGTGTGACACCAGTTATGTGAAGGAACCAAATCAGCCAATTGCCCAGTTCATGGTTCACTTGTTGAACCGATCAGTCCGATTTTAAAAACCTTGACAATAAATAAAAAATTTATTCTAGATGGCAAGTAAAGCTTATCAACCCCCTAACAATTACTATCTACAAAATTATTCTATATGATTATTCAAAAAAGGGTGACTTTTCAAATCAAACTATTAATCAAGAACTCTACAACTTAATCTATAACTAATTCAATTCGAACATACCGATCATGCTTACATAATTATAGTATTTTTTATATAAGTTTTATTTGGGATAACTTTTTTACTGTTTTACTTTTCAGGCTACAATCATAATTTTTTATTTAACTACTGATTTTTCATTGTTTTCAAAAAACAAAAAAAGTCTTAAAAAGTTACTTTCTACAATAGCTTTAAAATTTATTTTCTCTATAAGAGATTTTACAAAATAGTAAGAAAATTGTCTCAAACAAAATCATTATCATGTATGTAGCTAATTTTGTGACGCAATAGGCCCAACTCAAACCTATAATGCCTCGGTTTCTATAATCTTATGTAATTGAGCATATTTTATAGAAATTTTGGATCTTTTTACTCTAGATTCTTTTTGCTCTTTCTATTCTTTTCTTTTGTTTTGTTTTTTTTTTTTTTACTCAACATTTTTAATACAATTAGGTATGATTCGAGAACAATTTGGATTCAAAATTATTAATTTTATGTTCATAATTGGCTGGAAATCTCTGGATCTTCTTTTAGGCATACGGAAAACATAAAGGCTCTTTTTTTCTAAAAAAAAAAAAATTGATTTATATATATGAAAGGTATATTTATATGTTATATTACAGTAGATTAATTAATGAAAAAAAAAATTTCTCATTGAAAAAATTCTAAAAGATAGCCAAAAAGTATTTGCCATCTACAAATATATGAAAATAATAAATAATGAAGAAATTACCTCACATATGACCTTAGTTAGCAGAGTAATTGTTTATATTAGCAGTCCACTTAAGGTAAACCAAATACAAGGCAAAAGATCAATAAAGCATGATTAATGTTTCATTTCTTCCTCCAATAAAGAAAGTTGAACAAGTGATGCCTTAAAAGACCTAAAGTCGTTCTCTTAGAAAACAATTTCAAATTTCTTTTCCAAAGAGGTTTTGCTTCACTCTTCTGATTTCCAAACAACCACGAAATCAGAAGATTAGCACGTAATACGCAGCTCATCTTGATCTATTGGTTAGGAGCTTTGATTATTAATTTAGAGGTCTTAGATTTGAAGCTAGTTTATGTGATGTGTATATGAATTTGTCTTAATTGACTTAAATTTCCAACAACAACAAAAGATTATCATGTAATTAAAAGATTAAGTTAAGAAAATAATTATTTGAACGGTTGTGGGAATAATCTCTCAAATTGAGTAATGCTTTATTAGAGGATAAAACACCGGAAAAAAAGCCCCTCTAAATCCCTAAACGGGAACCTTAGCGAGCTAATGATAGTTTAGGGTTTCAATGCATTGCTTAAGTAGTGCCTCCGCCCTCCGACAACCCCCTCTAAAAAAATGCTTTATTAGAGAAATGCTCATCCTGGTCTTTTGTTTAGGAGCTTTGGCTACCAAC